ACACTTGGTATCTTACGGGGCTAGGGTTTGGAAAGTGGTTGGCTGAGAATAGCATGTGAGCAGTTTGTTCGCCAGTGCTGCTTCACAAATTCCTTGCTTATCACGGGCTCCTTCAAGCACTCTCTGCTAAAGCAGTTTTGTGCTGTCCTTGTCCACGCTTTCACAGCATATGGTCTTCCCTTGGTCAGTTATCTGACCCGTTTCTGCAACTGTTTCCTGCTCATGTCCCTGATGAAGAATCCGTGATGGAGGTCGAAACGTTAGGCGACTAAAAGCGTTCCCCCAACAATCGAATCTCTTCCTATCATCACGCAAGCAGTTACGAAGGGAGAAAGAAGTTTATTACCGAGACGTTTTGAAGTTTCATTTTAACCCATCGGCAAAGACATAATTTGACTCCGGAATGTCAGACGAACGAAATTATTTTTTCTAGCGATCGAATCTTCTTTTCCTCAGTAACCACCAACGTGTCTTGTCTTGTCATTCTCCTATTTTACTTTGACTTCTTCGTCCCAACTACACAATGTGAAAGTATTTTCGTTATGAAATGTCTGCATATTCATCATACTTCTCTCTTAAGGTTTCATCGCGACTCAGGAAGCATAAAAACGAAATGCTGTTGGACAGAATGGTTTTGTGAAAGTATCTAGCCGCCCATTTCCCCAAGGACGTTTAAGCAAGCCATAGTGGGGTTTTGCTATGGCAGTCCGGCTTACCTTTCTTTATGGGACTTGAGTTAATTAATTTAGAAGAGTAGTTAGCGAGCGTACGTAAGTTGCTTTCGATAAATTCTCCTCGGGCCAGTACACTTATATGGGAACTAGATACAAGTAAAAATGTGTTCATCTTACGTACAACTGAGCCGTAGAGTCGCGTCTGGCGTGGCCCACAGTCACTTAGCGGCATACACTCGTCCGCGCTCTGTTTGTCTCCCTCCCCTTTCCCCTAGACTGGCTTCACCAAACCCTGCTCTCATAACCAGCCTTCCTCGATGGACCCCTTTCCCCGATTTCCGAGACTCACTTGTATGAAAAAAAGCGAACACGTTCTAACTTGTACCCCATACCCATATGCATGTACTGTACCGACGAGAATTTATCAAAAGCTTACGTACGTTCGCCAGCTACTCTTTTGAATTCTCTGATGGGAATTTTTTACAACTTTACTTAATTTAATTAATTAAGTACGCCAGAAAACTGGCATGTTGAGGCTAACTAACACTAAATATTCTAGCACAGCTAGTACTGAATATATTTTACTTTCCTAGACTGATAGCTCACCCACGTGTGAAAAAGACTATGACCAGTAGTCCTTAATGCAGCCTGAGTTCACATCTATCGACAATTTAATTTGGCGTGTTCTGTCAATTTATATGATTGATCAGTCTGGAGACAACCAAAAGTGCAACTGCAAAAATGATTCACCCAACTTCTGTATCTCGCTTTGAGTCAGGGTATGATTTTCCTGTAGGTGCTGTAACTCGTGAAATATGAACTGAAATTCTAAGATAACTTTTCTGTTAAAAGAATTTGTTTGTGTGGATTTAAAAAAATGGGTTTTCGGGCGGTTTAATCCCCGAAAGTTCCGTCGTGTCATAATAATGTCTTCTGAATACGCGTCCTGCTGTCCGTCGAAGAACGCTTGACTGGTTAATTTTTTGCCTTTTTCATTGATTTTCGAGGCCAAATATATTTTTTAAGGAAGAAGGGCATGACGATATATTTTTCCATATGACTTTTTGTTGTAAATACTTCTTTCTCATTTGTTTACTCTAAAAACCGTAGCTTTCCGATTTAAAAACTTTTTAACTTCCAGAGTCAGTTTCAGCCTCTTCGCTGTTTCTATTCAGCAAGAAAAATCATTTCTTTCTTTTGTGCTAATACGAAGAAAATATATAGGCCTCACAAAGTACAGTATTGAACGTGGATTAAATGGTACGCTGCACCAGGACACCCACGAATAGACAGATAAGATGCTGCTTGAATATACCTTTCAGAGCCATAAAAATTTCATAATTGCAAACTGTTTAAAACTAAAAGCTACTAGTTTTAAAGAATACGTAATTCGATACAAAAGAAAAATGGAAAAATGTCTCTGTGTACATATTTTCTTTGAAATATTTCTTGATATATAGACATATGAGAAACAAATGAAAAAGTGCATGCATTTTAGCGGTCATTTTCAGCTAGTGCAGCTTTTACAAGTAGAGCAAATAGATGAATTTTAAAAGTCTGCATCCGCAAACGATTACTCTATCTCGGACAGTGATCCAGGTATTTACTTCATTTCATTATATCTGCATTTTTTACATCACACCTTCTGGACAACCTAGGATAGAGTCTGATTATGACATTTGGGGTGATTGCTACCCCTTTATATCGGATTAAAGTTTATTTCTATCTTGACCTGACTCATTAAGATAAAAATTTCCGAGAAAAATAGCTCCATTGAGGTGAAGCGCAGGTTTTCTTAACAAACAAGGGGTCATAATCACTACGGACTACACCGTTTCTCTCAGGCCAATGAAATACATATGTTGAAACAGCCGAAAAGAATCATACTCAGACGAAAATATACACTTTTCAGTCTACATGCGATTTCAAGTCAACGTTCCATTAAGTCTCAAAAATGGGCAGAAACTATGCAGCAAGATAATCGGAGAATTTGATGGATGTACCCTTCCGGAGACGAAACGTGTAATTCTTGAATACGCAAAAGCAAATCTTATTTTTGCACCGTATGCTTCTTTTAATGTATTAAAGCGAAAGAAGTAGACATTTTCTGGGAATCTAGTTCGGACGGAGAACATAATTACTCCTGGCCACGGTGTTAATAGGGTTTTTTGAGCTTTAGGTGAAGATAGAACAAAAAAATGTAGGCAATTTATTGGAAGGTAGTCGTGGGAAGCAAACATATCGTTTCAATGTTCTTAAATTTGTTTTCAAGTAAAGTGCAGCTTTCTTAAAAGGATTCATATTTACAACACAGTTGGCAACGGGATGATTATCAGGAATAAACAGTTAACTTTCACTTCTTATGTCAAAAACGACTTTATCCAAACATCTCAAATCCAGAGAAGTATTTCTAATTTAGGTAAAAGCTTTTCCTAAGAATTACATCGCAGACATCTGGAATCGTCTTCAACTGAAGGTGAGTTCACTACACTTGCTCCTAGCGGATCTTTTATCCTACGTAAGTCGTGTTCTAAGCGTAAATCTGGGTCTTAATCCCAGTGACCCATCGTCGTTGCTGCTTTATGTTGACCAAATAAGAGCTGGTGAATATATCAGAACTCGTATAAACGCAAAAATACAGAAGTAGGCCTTCGAGGAGACCGGATTATTCAACCAAGAATCCCGGGTGGACAAGCCTGAAGCTTTGGTCTTTAACCTCCTACTGCTATCCAACTATGACATTCTGACTATAAATTTATGCAATTTGCCATGGCCCCACATTCATCGAGCCTAAAATGGGTAGCTCCAGATGACCAGGAGTCGAGTACGACCCATTATCAGGTCTCAAACCAACACTTCACTGCCACTTTCATAGTACTAGAGACTCCTGTTTGGCCAAATGGGAAAATTGACCTCTACAAACAACTGACAATTAATAGACGAGACCAAATGTTGCAAGGAGCCATGCACACCCTTGATACCGGACAAACCTTCGTCTGGGACCAAACTCGCATCGATGGATTCGTTTCCTGCGAAAATGTCCGAGCTTTTCTTGAAAACCTATGCCCCAATGACTCGTGCATTAATCGGCACATTGAGTAAGATTCCATGTATAAAAACCGCAGAAGAATGTGCAAGAGACGCGAACCAAGCAATACTGAATGATACACACAACAGCCATCTACAGCAGCAAACATCAGATTAGTCTCGAGTAATACGTATTTTCCACATTTACTAAAGTCTGACGACCATCTGGGAAACCAGCATTGACAAGTTACCCAGTGAGGTTCGCTACCTTCCACAAAGAACCTACTTGCCTTCAAACAATATGCATATATTTACTCTATATATATATATATATTGGATAAGTGAAGTAAGTTGCATTCCGAGATGCTATGATGACACGAAAGAAGTTCTTCGGAAAATCGAGTTGTACTCGTGAATTTTCGCACACGTATCACTTGCTCTTCGTCAGACTAAATGAAAAGTGAGGGCTGGGAATGGTACCCTAGAGGTTTTGGGGGTAGAGTTTACAAAAAACGGGCATGAGGTTGGGGGGGAGGGATTATGGTGACATGAATCCTGTGGTGATAGGCTGTGCAGGTAAGGGGGGAGGTGCTAAAGTTTGTATTGTGGGCCACGTGGGCCACCCCATGCCCGTTCGTTGTAACCTCTGCCCCCAAAACCTCTAGTACAACATTCACAGCCCTCACTTTTCATTCAGTGATACTTATTCGAAAATTCACGAGTACAACTCGATTTTCCGAAGATCTGCTTTCTTTTCACTCTCTATATATGCCTATATCATTAGCCGCCTTGCGGAGTAGGCTCGAGAGTGAGCTCCAAAGCCCCCATGGATCGACGAGTGTGTCCTCTAACTGATCGCTGTACACCTATCTGCTACTGTATAGTCCAGATCGAAAGTCGACAGGACTGCGAGCCCGCGGCGCAGTGGTTAGAGCGTTACACATCTAACTAACAAGGTCACGGGTTCGAAAACTGAGCGTCGCACCAATTTCTGGGGCAACACTTGATTTGAGTATGACTAGCTGACGACGTCCAATAAGCCATAAAGGGCGTCCCTAGTGTCCCTTGTCGTTGTCGGTAATGTCCTTTTGCAAATATTTACTCTTTTTTCTCAGAAGATTCCCAAATTATCATAACACCCTTTTCCAACTGACGTGCTTTAAGTGTAATTTTTCTAAGATAAGAATTTATTTTCTCTTTCTTGACCGACAGAAACAAACAAATTTTTAATCGGGATCTATTTGAGAAGAAGCTGGTCAAAACGGTTGCTTATGCCTCTCATGGGCTCAACAAGTTGATCTAATTGGCTGCAGTATGTTCTTCCTGAACAGAAAGCCCTTGGCAATAAGCTGCTTTAATTAGAGGTAACTAGAAAAATTTGAAAATGGTTTTCTCCAAACAAATGGCCTCCGACCTATTTTTCTTACCAAAATGGCTGCAATCTTTGGGGAGAACGGACGGTTGTTAGGTGCTGCGTCAGGACGCGTCTGTCGCTGATCCGGCGGGGAACTGGAAGAGGTATTTTCCTTCTTCATGCCAGGCTGCTGCGTAAAAGGCTGAGGACGGGGTGAACTGGAGCGCACAGAAACGGCAGGCGGGACGACGATCTTAACAGCAGCCGCTGGGCCACCATTAGTTGAAAATCGTACCTAAAATATATTGAAATCTCTTGTCAGCATGACAATACTACTTAAAGTTTTTGCTCCTCAAAACTTTGCAGCTTTGCGCCTTCGTAAAAACGGAAATATGAGAAGGGGAAAGGGCGTTCACCGGGAGAATTTTATTTGTGATCTGACGTTTCGGATAGTTATCTCGTCTAGCCAGATCAAAAACAAACCTGTCCCAGTGAACGCCCTTTCCCTTTCTGACTTATCACCTGGAAATCGAATTTTTGCTACTATTACGTTAAACGGAAATATATGCTGACATGCACAGTATACCAGTAGCCAAATGATGATATTTTAAAGGGTACAATAACATTATTTTGACGTAGGTAGTGCTAGTGCTGACATTCTTTTGTTGATCGCGAACAACCATGTTTACCGTTTCCCCTAAACGACAAGGGCTGTAGACATACTGATTCGGTAAATCGTAATAGCAGACTCCTGTAAAAAATTCCACTCTTCCTCGCACCCTCCTGGGCTCGGTGGAAAGACGGAGACAACAAGACCGGAAACAGGATCAGGCACGGTAACTGACAAGGCTAAACAACCACTGCGGCTTCCAGAATCCTGGAACCATTCGGGATTGGTGTAGCTCATAAGCCGGAA